GAAGACGTTGCGTCATATTACCGCGAATTCAGTTTCCCTTACGGCTCTTAAGTTCAAAGCCTCTTTAAGGGTGCTGTTTGAGCGCCTCTGGCAACCTTTTTATTTTATACGCTGAATGATCTCTTAGAAAACAGCAGTACCGCCACGGACACACAGTATACTACACTGTCTCCATACGTGCACGTGAACGATGCAGCACAGCACTGTTCCTTTAAATCGTTATATCAATTGATTGGGGTTAACGTCCCAAAACAATGGTATGATTATAAGAGACGCCGTGTGTATTGAAGGGCTCCGGAAATTTCGACTACCTGGGGTTATCTAACGTGCAATAAAGCCCGCTAGCATCGAGTCTTTTCACCTGCATCGAAAATGCGGCCGCCGTGGCTGGGATTCAACCTCGTGAGCTGTCTTCTTTAAATTGAAACCGACAAAACGCGTGAAAAAAGTTATGCTCTTGCGCTACTGCCACCTCTACAGTCGTTTCCTCAAACACTGTAATTATCAAGCACCAATCGTGTCGCCAAGTTTCCTGCTGCTTGTGTGACTTGCACACGAGTTCATATCTCGTCAGAAACAAGGAGCTTGAATACATCTCCATTTCCTAAAGGGTCCTTAACCCAAGAAGGAGGGTCATTACTGGGTTGTGAGTGTTACCTATAGGTCGGCGAACTCACTCATGAGCTGGCTCACTCGGACTCACTCAGACTCAGATCGAGCCGTCCAGTCTGAGTGAGTACTCTTTTAATTCTGAGCCCAAAAGAGACTCGCTGAAGAAAATTTCGGTGAGTCCGAGTGAATCCGGCTCTGGAAAATGAATTTTGGCGAGTCTGAGCCCGAGCGAGTACAAAGCGCAAAGTACATTTCTTAGGCGCGTCTGAGTGAGTCTTACTTCTTTTTGCCGACCTAAGCCTCCAGTCTACTCATTCTCAGCATTACTATCAGCCTGACCTGGATTCACATTTATACTCACATCTACTCACAGGTATTCCAAAGCAGTGTCTTTCATACACCGTGTCAGTATTTACTAATTAGAGGCGTAAATTGCGAGGGAGGGGTGGGGTGCCTTGCCCACGAACTCTTCTAGCGAATATCTTTACTATTATATCTTATGCTGTCATCCCTTCCAAGAAAATTGACCTCACTGGATTGGCAGCACTCTGAACTCGTTTTATGCCAAACGGCACCAAGAAGGGCACCGATTACGTGACATATTGGTGTTAAAAAGCATTGGCCAAAGAAGCTAATTCTACGCCGACGTACTCATGAGTCGACTCACTCGGACTCAGATCGAGCCGTGAGTCTGAGTGAGTACAGCTGAGTAATGTTTTCGTGTGTTAGAGCCCAAGTGAGTCCAGCTCAGGAAATTTTTTTGAGTCCGACTCCAGGAGAGTCCAAAGCTCAAAATTATTTTTTTAAGTTAGTCTGAGTGAGATCCACAAGTTTTGCCGACCTAGGGTCACCTTACGTTAAATTGTATCCGCTAGATGCTTCCAATCGAAAAGCATTTAATGCGCATCTGTATCGGAGTTAGTAAATGCTGTTCTCTCGGTTCACTCTAGCAAATGTTCGCAGCGGGCAACTTCGAGGCAACAAGGAATATTTTCGAGATATATCACTCCTACATGCCCCAGACAGTGTCGCGATACAGTCTGCGATTGAGAGTGAGTGAGAGCGGAGAGTGCTGCGCTCTGCTGTAAAGCAATGCGCTAAGCGAAGCTATTTTCCAGCGCCGCTGGCACCCATGATATAGAGTGGGAGTGGCATATGTACACAGCGTGTACTAAAAAGAACGAAGCCAACTCAAATGGATTCACCGCTGCTTTTCGCAGTCGACAAAGCAGCTTACCGCGCGTATGATGACGTAACGGCAGTCGTGCTCGCATACAGTCATTGCGAATCGATCGCAATTGCAAAGTTGGCTCAGCGAGGCCAGTGTAGCTAACGCTACAAAAGCACCGCCACCTGACGACGTGTAATCGGTAGATGAGAGTCCATAGCAGGGGATCCAGACACGTGGTTGCTTCTTTAAATTCCTCGAACTTGGCACTTATACGGCGGTTTTTACATTATTATGCCTCGAGCAGACAGTCGACGAAAACATAGAAGGGTTGCACGTGACGCCATCCACTTGAGGCGCTAGCGGCGTTTGCCTCTACCGCCGTGTCAGTGTTCTGGGCACGCCTTTTTTGAAGCTGCGAGCGGCAGGGAGAGGTTGTGTGCGTGCCGCTACGTGCGGTACCAACGTGGTGAAATGCGACTGAGTGCTTATGCGCGTGACTTCCTAGGTACGGCGAAACTTCGCTACGAGCATAAGGTTCTCCTTCGCGGCGGATATCGGCCCGTTCGACTTCAGCAGCGATGAAGCTGTGTGTGATGTAAAGTGTTATTTCCGCATAGAGCTCACGGACATTAAGGACCACCTTATTGGCAGCACAAGCTACCACCTTGTTGGCGGCACAAGCTTCGCAACAAGGGTCAAGCTTAAAGCATACAAATCGATGGACGCCCGCAACTAGGTGACTAGCGGATGGGTCCAACAGCACCGATACCTCGGAGACGGCCGCCACGTCGTCGTCGGAAACGTGACTGGTTCCCCTTGCTCAGTGCTCGGACAAATAATTTTTGTCACCGCGGTGGTGTCGCTTCACGAATTCTTTGTGTGGAAGGGCTTCGCCGTTTGCGATAACATGTTAGGTGATACAATTGGCATAGTTCGTTCGTGGTTGAGCCCAAGCCACTTGCGATCAAAAATGCCCCTTGCTGGTGGGTCTAAACGTCGGGCAGTTGCGCACCCAGAGGTCCCATACGGTCTCGATTCTATCTGGTCGACGTTAATGTGATGTCACCGTTTATGTGGTTAGCTGACCATTCTCTTAAACAGTCCGCGACGCAGTGTGCTCTCGTCAAAGCATGGATAAACGCGAACGCAATGCGGCATGCCCGCACTGCGTCGCTGACTGTTTACTAACCCACCAAAATCAGTAACACGCCGCACCTACCTGTATAGTACTGCTGACAAGCAGCGATAGCGGACGTAGTGCGCGCACTCGTCTCCTGCTGCGTAAACAGAGCTTTATAGCACGTCGCGAAAACCCAAGTTTTTCGCCACAAAAGCAAACCTCTATGATGTTGCATAGGTTCTGAACACTTACCGAAAATGAGATGTTTAACGCACACGCAGTATATAGTGTGTGGCTGAGCCATCGAAACCTTTTAGATTGGTTGACAATGACTTTAGGTATGAAAAAAAAAAAAGCCGACATCAGACGCATTCTCATGACCAGGCTTCTTACTCGAGTGGTTGTAGCAAAGAAATACGGCACAGTTCACTATTATGATCACAGAAATATCGCACGGACGCCCGCGCGAGATTCCTGTGTCGCCCGTGAGTGTACGTTCTGCGACTGCTTGCCGGCGGCAGCCATCTGCGGCGGCCGGGAGATAGACCACAAAGATAGATACGCTGCCTCTTCGATGCTAGCACCATGTCGTGGGCCACGCCCCTGTACAACCCTCCTATTGCTCGGACAATCAATCCCACTTATTGGATGGATGGATGAAATAGCTTTGTTCACGTCCATTAGGTCGCGCTAGTGTAGCTCGATGCGGGCCGCTCCCACGTTGGGACCGTAAGACCTATAGCCTTTCAGCCGCTCCGTGGGCCCGTTGGACTGCCCATATTTGTCCCTCTGATGTAAGACTGCGTCAAGCTGCGTCCCGTCGTTCTTCAGCATTTTCTTTCGCGCTGCGCCACACGCAACAACGCCAGAGCATATGGGCGAGATCTATGGTGTCATGACGTTTATCGCATGTTGTACGAACAGAAAACTCCGGATAACTGTTGTTGATTCACAGCGGGTTCAGCTAGGTTCTTGTCTGTAATCGCCTTAGCGTAGTGGACTAAGCTCTGTTCAGATTACTGTGTGGAGAAGGAAGACCCTGCGTCCTAGATATAAATGTTTCGTTATCTCGTTGTACGAGAGCAGGTGGTCCTTGCATTCTGAAACCTCAGCATGTTGTTGCCTTGTGGCTACATGTTTGAGAAGCCCTCGAGCAGCGTTGCGGGTAGATTCGTTGACGTTCGCGGGGGCACCGTTGATTTCTCCTATGTGAGCAGGAAACCAAATAATCGTGTGTGGCTTGATTACTTTTCCCTTGAGCATTGACAGAGCCTGCCTAGAGATATTACTCCTTTGGCAAATGCTCGCACAGCTACTCTATAATCGCTGTGGATCCTCTATTCCTTTGCGTCTAAACGTGCCAATGCAATGGCTACTTGGTCGGCAATTTCCGATTGTGTGGTGCAGATGCAAGCCGAGTTGACTGGTTTACCTTTACCGTTCACAAGTACTGTTGTGAAAGCTCGTTTATTGGACGCGAAAGCCACCTACACAAACGAGCATTCCTCAGCCTGACTTTTAGCTTTTTCTAGTAGAGCTTTGGCTATTGCTTGCCTTCTGCTCACATTATGAATGGGGTGAACATTCCTCGGAACAGGCACAATTGCGATGTTGTCCTTCAGATCGTTGAGGATTTCTTTGTGGTTGTCATCTATCGCTTTAATTGGTGTACCAATTCGTTTGAGGATGTCTTCCTGATTGCGTCGTTGCGAATCTAATGAACTGAGCTCTTTCTTGTGCCTCAGCGATTTCCTTTACTGTATTGTGGATCCCAAGCTGCACGATTCTTTCAGTTACAGTGTACATAGGTAGCCCAAAAGCTACCTCGATTGTCTTTCTCAGCAATGCATTGAGTTTGTCTCTTTCGGATTTCTGCCACCCATGCATAGCTGCTACGTAGGAAAAGTGGCATAGCACAAACGAGTATACGACGACGCTGTCTTCTCCAAGGCCTTGTCGGCGATTACTTACTCTTTTAATGAGCCCGATTTTGTTGTGCACTTTCTCAGCGAAAGAAATCTACTTATTGCCCTACGTTTTTTCCCCGCCCTAAATTCGCCACAACTCGGCCTGTACAGAGAAGAGCGGCGCACTTACCACCTGCAATTCTTGCACCCAATGGAGTCCGCTTTTACTTGGCCGACGAAGAGACGGTTGTTTCGTACTGTTTTTGACTTTGCCCCAAGGACGTCCGGACAGCCTGCCGCGGCACCTCGACCCTGCATAAAAGGCAGGAGGGCAGATCCTATAGACCAGCTCGGCGTGTATTGTTACGCAACACGTATACGACACGGGAAGTCCCAGCCAGATTTCGCGAGCTTCCTTCTGACGCAAGGAAAGTTGTGTTCGTTTGTCGCTGACGTAGCAAATATTAAACTTTAATAACAACCGACGCGAACGCTCTAAAAGTGTGATCCGCACAAAAAAGTTACCCGGATACAAAGAGCGAGTGCTCGCGGCTAATTTTTTTTTTCTTTCTACCTGTTTTTGCGTCTGTAGCGATGCGGGGTCGGAAACAAAATTCCGGAATCGATAGTCGCGTAGCTTCTGCCGCAAGAGACACTGATTTCCCCCAAAGGTCCTTGAGAGCTCTTCGTCATCACACGCTTACTTCACCAGTACACGGCGGAAAACAGCGTTTGCAGACACCCACAGACTAACATTGCACTTATACTGGGGCAATTGCCTACGAAAAAAAAAAAAAAACACCAGGCCTGCGCGGAAGGCGCAGCACAGTCACAGCGAAAGCTCGAAGAGCGGCCTTTCAGAGCCTTTTGTAAACACTCATTGAGGAATTATGCCTGAAGTGGGTATGCGCCACAGTTAATAGTTGAACAAAGCAAGCTTTTGTAATGGGTTGGAGCATTGGACGACCCACTCGTTACGCTATTCACATTGTGCGACGACTGCTTCTTCTTTCGCTGTTTCAAAACGCTTTATATGTGGCATTAACGATTGCTTTCTCAAACATCAAGCCCGCCTAAGGCAAATTTGCCAACAAGCCCAAACACCGGCGTAGCTCTGTGGTAGAATACTGGGCTAGGACTCGGGTTCGAGCCCCATCGTGTCATTAGTACTAGGTATTTTTTTCCATTTCCCCACGATGTGGTTAAGGACACCGGCGGCGGCGGACAACTACGGCGCTGCACGATACCCTAGTTAAGATTTCATATCCGCTTTCGCTGTAAAAAAGCATCGACCACATCGCGCTAATGGGCAGTTTTGCTAACTTCGTACACGTTTCTGATAGACCTCATGACGTGCCTAAAGTAGTTGGTTTTGAACTGTTTCTATGCTTTTGGTTTTCAGCTTTCAGCTGTTGATCGATTCGAAATCCTTTTTGCGAGGCAGTAAGGCGACACAGACATAAGGCTCCCTACTAATCTAATGTCGTGTTAAGGAACAAGGTAAAAAATAAAATCGAAAAAATTTTGTTCTACAAGCACATATTTTTTTGTCAATGCCAACTTTGCCATTCACGCCATATACAGCCAATCATGAAACTCATCACATTTCATAGTGCTTAAAACTGAGGCAACAGAACGGTTAAGAAATAAATGCGGCATTTTTTCGCTTTAAAGGAATATTTCGCTTTGTCGCGGCTTAAAAGCAAAAATAGAACGCTGAGGTATACACCGAGGTATAACTTTTACTTGAACGCCGAGGTATAACTTTTACTTGTGCGTGCGCGCCATGCGTGCGTGCATGGTCTGCGCGATAAAGCTGATAGATGAATCGTGCCACTCGCTGGCGTTGCCGCGTGAGCACTGCTCCTCGGCAAAAGCAAAAGTGGTGGGCGGACCCGATGTTCGCCGTGGGCGTCTGTCAATCTAACTGAGTGACACGTGAACTCGTTTACAAACTCGTTGATTCTGAGAAGGTTCCAGTTCAACTTAAGCGTTTGATGCTGTGGACGCTAAGCCGCTGCTTCTTTGTATATAAATAATTTGGTCATTTTTCACTGCCATAGAGGAGCTTGTGATAACCTAGCTTCTTCCAGCATTTCAATTCAGTCGTCTGCTCATCTGCCTGGTCAGTTTCAAAGTGAAGGTCGTACCAGGTGTCTTAATTTTGGGTTATCTAATTACATACAGCCTAATGAACACAACACTTAACACATTTGTGTTAATTGAAAATAATTCAATCAAAACGCAATAATTATATCGGGTGTAATTAGCAAAACCATCATCATTGTAGATCTGTTTAACGTATTTCGAATTAGCACGACACTAATTGTCATCATACTAACAAGGTCTAGTTAGCACGGTTTTACTTCGCGTGCTCATGATTAACGTCACGTTAATGAGCGTGGTTCAGTTACAGAGTCAACTAGCACGCTTTAGTTAGCACGGTTCTAGCTTTACATTGCTTCATTACCATGACCTTAATGGGATGTGGTGTAGTTATCTCGGTCTTACCATGACGGCTTAATTACCTTGATCATAGCATGACCTGGTCTAACTAGCCAAGTGTACCGCCTATCCAAATAGCTAATTAGCCGGCCGCACGTGCTCGAGTGCTAGCCGACGAAGACGACAAACAAGGCGTGCACCGGCCGAGCAGCGCGCTCGAATGTGCCGGCTGACCATGATGATTAACACGTGGCGTCAGGTTTAGCTGCGGTCACGCTGTTGTCAGGCGCTCGGCGGGAACGAATCTCAGAGCGAGCGACCGACCGACCATGCGGATGATTAAACGCGAAACATTTCTTTGAGTGCTAATCTGTACGTCCGTCCGTCCATCCATCCATCCGCCTACGTCTCGGTGCTCTCATGACCACTCGCTTAACTTGGGGTACAAGAAAATTAGTAAAGGACGGTAAGATGGTTTGACCAATATGGTGCGCTGGCCATGACAACGAATAATGTCACAATGACGTCACGCACGTCGTCAAACACTTTAAAAAAAAAACAGTGGCACATACCCCAGGGCGTTCATGTGCCACTGATAAGCGGGAATGTGCAACAGGCGATAGATATTTTATATCCACCCAGAAACGGCGAGAACACAGATAGGTAACTTTAACGCTTGAGTATTATAGGAAAAAGCTGCCATAGGCGTTCGCCAGACGGATGCAACCGATAATTTGTCAGTGTGCCAGCAGAAATCAAACCTTAGGATTCTGCGTGGCAGTGAAGTAGTCTATACCTTAGAGCCCCGCCAGGCCTCGAATATTCTATTCAAATAAACCCTAATGTCTTGTAATGTCAATTGTGGTTCCAGTACTGGCTATCCGATTTCAAAAAGATTACAAATGTACTATGATACAGCCGTCATGTAGGGTTAACGTAAATTGTAGTTAGGCGCCATCCGATGAAGTTGATTCGTGTAGCAGTGTTCCGATGGAGGCGGAAATGTTGTAGGCCCATTTGCTCATATTTGGGTGCACGTTAAAGAACCCCAGGTGGTCGAAATTTCCGGAGCCCTCCACTACGGTGTCTCTCATAATCATATGGTGGTTTTGGGACGTTAAATCCCACATATCAATCATCAATGAATTGTGTAGCAGTGTTGAGGGCTACCATCCTCGCGCGCACCAGCGCGAACACCAGCGTTTCATATCGGCTTAACGCTCTTGTTGTTGCTAATATCCGTGTTACTGTTGGCATCATTACTCAACCTTAAATAACTGCTAACATAAAATATACATGGCTGTTTAGCGTATATGAGTGAGCGTGGATTTGTACATATATTTAGCGACACTTTATAACGACTCGTTCAATAAAAATTAAAACACATTTAACTTCCATCTGTATGCTTCGCTTAAAACATTGATTTCCAAGGTAAGCGTGATCTGCCAAATTATCTTTAAAGCAGCCTTAGTGCAGACATTAAAAAACTTCAAGATGAACTTAAACAGCTCGTGCCATTAAAAAACATCATTAGAAAAAAAACTTATGACAGGTTTATCGCATGGGCGCACTTTTGCACTCATTGGATCCAACGACAAACAAATGAAAGAAGATGCACCTGGTGTGAAAACACCACCCAACTTTGTCGACCGTCCTTGACGTGATGCCAGTTTCTATAGTAACCAATAGAACGCAGCGCGCTGAGGGGTGAATTTTACTTTTTCGCACTGTTTGCTCATTCAAAAACAGTCGACAGAGCTCGGAAAAAGTCGGAGTTTCGCCAAGCTTGGCCGATTCTACATAGCTAGCACCCTTGAACGATTTGTTTTCTGCTAGCTTGTAGATACAGATCAACGCTGGAAATCTGAGAAAGAATGGGAGCCTCAACAACGTGTCCTGCAAAGCACGATGCGAGACATTTACAATGAGGAAGAAGTTCGTCGACACGTATCGTGGCACTGACCGGGCGATCGATGACACGTACAACGGCGGCGTTGCTTCAGAACCTGTGCCAAGCGTTTGCACGACTCCGAGCACAGTTGGTGCAGTACCCCGAACACACTAACTTGTGACAACCGAGGCCAGCTTAATCCATCTGCACTTTCGAAATTTTCTATGGTGCACACACCTGCAGCAGCATGGTAAATTTCTGTTTCTTACACTTTTTGTAGTATATCCCTCTTCGTGCCTCAGAAATAGTAAGTCTGAAGTAGCAAGCCCTGTATACAGCAGCACTGCAGCCTGCAGGTTCCATTAAGCTCTTTGTTTTCCTAGAGAAGGTGGCGCTCAAACTTATAACACACTGACGACATTCTTTGCTTTTATCCTCCCTTCAAATGAGAAGAAATTGATTTCAGTGGTGATATTGAACACACAGCGTACAGCACGTTACGCAAACAATGCAGTGTATAGATGCGACATGCCCCATGACCAGTTCATTCAGGTAAAATGGAACATACCGAAGTTAGTGGTATGAACGAGCCCTTCCAGGAGATACAAGAAGTGAGGAAGGAGGTATGGCGGCTTGAAAACAACTCGAAGACCACAGCTGTAGCTCGAAATATTCACATTAAACAAAATATTGCTGAAACCAAGCGTTCGAACTTTTTGTAGATCTTCCTGCACGACTGCGCTGGCGTTCTATCTCTTTGGGGTATTGTCGAAGAGACAGTCGTCGTTCCCACTTCCTAGTATTCTCTCGTTGTACGTACTCGGGGTCTTCGGCTCATCGCCGCCGTTTCGCCGCCATTTATTGGGCTAACTCTTGCCTTCTTGATTTTTAGTGGGCCAGTGTTGAGTATTAGAACTTGCCCGATTTCAGTTGCAGATATCCATTTATGATAGTGTTTTTTGTTTGGTTCACTGGA